TTATTGTCTCAAGTAAACACTTATTTTTATTACCATATAAATGATTTTTACCAAACCTCCTTTACCTTTCATAGGTAATAAGTCGAAGATCAGGAAAGATCTTATCGACATACTCAAAGACATCAAAGGGGATTATGTCTTCGTTGACCTATTTGGTGGTTCTCTCTATATCTCTCATCTGTTGCATATTATGTTCCCAAAAGCAACGATCATAGCTAACGACTATGATAACTACGTTGATAGACTGAAACACATTCATGACACGAATGAAATACTTAAGGAACTTAAGGAGAGAATAAATGTTAAGCCAGATGAGAAAATTCCTACTGATCAGAAAGAGATCGTCAGAGAAGTTATAAGTAAAGCTCCATACATAGACTGGGATACATTATGTTCACGTCTTCTCTATTCTGGAGCATACAAATACTATGATCTTGACACATTAATGAAGAAAGTGTTATACCTCAGATATACTAACTTATTTGGTGAAAACATAGATGACTATCTTGAAGGTTTAACTATTGTTCATAAAGATTGGAGAATACTCTTCAATGAGTATAAAGATCTTCCCAATGTTTTCTTTATATGTGATCCTCCATACTTCCATACTTATTCTATACAGTATGGAGATGAATGGACTCTTAAAGATACTGTAGAAACCTTTGATGTCCTTAATTATCCATCTATTTACTTCAGTAGTGATAAATCTTATACAGAAGAACTTATAGAGATATTGACAAAAAGATATGGAGAGAAATTTCCTATGAGAAAGCATGTTATAGATAGAGGTTTAATTAATCCTAACACTCAGAAAAATAATGAAGTAATATATGTCACTTTTTCTGTTAATGGAGAAGAGAAAGATCAAGAAGATAATAGTTGATGAGGGAACTGAAGAAGCGACGACATTCATCTTTGACGACGGAAAGCTCACATTCGTTGTCGATAAAAATGGACAACACTTACACAAAAGAAAGAGACCAAGAAAATTTTTAGATCTCCCAAAAGCTAGGAAACCAAAGGAACCATTTCCAGTACCAGCCGTCCAAGAACCAGAGAGACTTTTGATACCAAAACCTGTGGTTGACAAATATGATCCAGATCAGTTCTTCCCAAAAATACCAAAGTTAGAATAAAAACTCCTTTATTTCTTTAGTATTATATAATAAGTCTATTAGTAAGCTCTGTTCTCGTTCTGTTCTGGTATTTTGACGTCTTTTCATGGTCTCGCATAATAAGATCATGAACTTTTTCTTGAGATACTCGAAGAGCTGAGGTAAGTTATCATATTCTGGATATGTAGGAAGCATCCCTGCTATCGTAAGTGTTGTATCAATAAGGATTGGACTTATATCGGAAAAGTCGAGATCTGGAGTAGAATAAGAAGGTAAGTCTCTTACATGTAGGTAGTCATTATATGCTTTACGCATGAGACTGAGTTTCTGGAGCACAACTATGAGACTTTGGTTCTGACGTTCAAGTTTGCTTAAAGTTCTCTCCAAGCTTCTGTAATAAACGTCAACCTCTGTAAGAGCAGATATTTTTGCATTGATCTCGGAGATCTTTTCTTGAACTTCACCAAGTTTGACCTTAACTGACGTTTGAGCTCCCATCATGTTTTCATCAAGGTCATTCTCTATGTCATCAATGATATCTTCCCATGAAGTCATGTTTTCATCATTGATCTTAACGTGAACACTCATGAAAAAAATGTCATGTAAAGTATAAATGTCAGATTTTTACTCTTGAGCTTCTTCTCTCTGGATTGACTCGTCTGTAGGGCTTAATGTGCCATCACGTTCGACCAGAAGGTTCTGCTCAGGTCTGTCAAGGAGCTGTCTGTAGGTCGTGAAGGTTTCAACGAGTCCTTGGTAAGGAGTTTGGAGATCAACATCGACCCATGGGTGTTTGCGTAAGAAAGCAGCAAGGCTTTCACGCTTGGAGTCAATGACATCTTTCTTATTGGTTAATCCTTCTTCAAAGCTTAGGATTACTCCTGCAGTTGATTCAAGTCTTTGGATCTGGCGTCTGGAAACCTTGGTGAGTTGTCTTATCCTCTCGTTTCCAAATACATGCAGGAGATATGCAGAAATTACTTCATTAAGTTCGATTAAACAAATTGGATGAAGATCAGTCATGGCTTTTGTAAAGCAATCTTTTGTAAAGCTGTCTTTTGTAAAGCAGACTTTTGTAAAGCAATCTTTTGTAAAGCAATCTTTTGTAAAGCAGACTTTTGTAAAGCAATCTTTTGTAAAGCAATCTTTTGTAAAGCAATCTTTTGTAAAGCAACTTTTGTAAAGCAATCTTTGTCAAGACGCTTTTGTAAAGCAATCTTTTGTCAAGACGTCTTTTGTAAAGCAAAAGTATTCAATTTTGTGAGAAAATGCTTTTGTAAAGCAGTCTTTTGTAAAGCTGTCTTTTGTCAAGACGTCTTTTGTAAAGCTGTCTTTTGTAAAGCAGTCTTTTGTAAAGCTGTCTTTTGTAAAGCTGTCTTTTGTAAAGCTGTCTTTTGTAAAGCTGTCTTTTGTAAAGCTGTCTTTTGTAAAGCAGTCTTTTGTAAAGACATAACCGACGACCGAATGTCCCAAGATGGTACAACACCAGCTCCAGCATCACCAACACTAGATATGATGGCAATGATGATGCAGATGATGCAACAGCAAACCCAGCTTATACAGCAAATGCAGGAAAAGAAAACTTTCAATAAACCTGCAAAGAACTCACAAGATCTTGAAGCTGGACTCAATGCTCTCAGGAACGACTACAAGAGAGAGCAGATGACGTTTAGGAAGAAGGGTGATGAAGATTATGAGAATGATCCGATCGAGGAAGACGAGATCAAGTCCACTGCATCCACAAAGACCCTCCAGGATGAAAGAGATGATGAGGGATTCCTTACCAAGTCTCAAAGACTCTTTGTCCTTGAGTTCTTCACGATCTCTGCCTTGAGATCTATGAGGAATTGGAAGGGTCGCGTTCCAAGTGGCTCAAACAAGCGCGAACTACTCATGACCGCAGTACCGCTCACTAAGACAAAAGTCCAGCTCATGGACTTTATCCTTTCCGCTTGTCCCGACGAGATCTAAGATCTGATCAGAGTAAAAACTTACATTTATGAGCTAAGCTCAGTAATAATTAGTTGTTTATTCTTTCTTCTCATACTTCTGTGCAAGGTTTCCACGGAAGAACTCAAGCAACATTTGGATCTTTCCAAGCTTTCGACCTTCTTTTTCGAGGTCATCCTGGTAAGTTCGGAATGCGTCAACGTGTGAGCTCGCATAGAATGCAGCAACAACAACCTCTTCTGCACCTTCTTTGCTGTCAAGTGGCATGAACTCGAATCCTTCCATTCGACCAAATAAAAGTGACAAAAATGTCAATGAGACCCACTCGTTGCATAGATGCTAAACCTGGTCCGAAGATGCAAAAGTTCTTCAACACTCATGTCTGACCATAGGGAGTACGGTCATGAAGAGGTCATACAGATCTTCGATCAGTGTGTACCAAAACCTGAGAATCCAGACGAACTCTTCATGAAAATTTACTTGCTTCAATGGAGAGATGAGAGAACAGATATGAAACTCAGACCAATACCAATCTTTCTAGGTTTCTGCAATTACCTAGAACAAGCATACCAGATTAAAGGGTCTGACACCATCTTCCTCCAAAAATAAACTTTATCGTTTATAATGCATCAGGATCTACATCTATTTCTTCTGCTTCATCCTCAATGTCGATCTCTTCGACAGGTTTGATAGCAGCTTTGAGTAAGTTCTTACCCATTGTCTTAAGTTCAACTGGGTTATATTCTTTGTCTTTACTCTTTGTTGATTTCGTGAGATCTACATATAAACAATAACTTTTAGTCTTGTCAAGGTTTATTCTCGCTGAGAAATGGTCAGGAATGTTTATAGCTATCTTTTCAAACTTGAGTAAATTAGCTAAACCTTCATTTGTGTATTTCTGCTTATCGACAAAGATCATGATCGGACTTGCACTATAACCATACTTTCCTTGACATAATGTTTGTGGTAAGCATATAAGTAGTCTCTTTGCTGTTTTATTTTGCTTCTTCACTTCATCTACAAACTGTTGGATCTTAAAGAACTTTATATGATGTTCAGACATCTTTATATACCCGATAAAAAGTTCAGATAAAAAAATAATTAGCTATATTTTTATTAGTGCATAAATGAGTCTTTCTTTGAGATTTTCTGATGAAGATCTAACTTTGGTAAGATCTTTAAAAGATGATGAAAACATTCTTTCTGTCATTGATGAAGAAAAGAAATACTTCAGTAATGATGTAAAAATAGAGCTACTCATTCATACTGAGAAACAGTTTGTGATCGTGATCTTGAGTTAACCAACTCGTATCCAAGCGTGCATTGTTATATAAGGAGGCATATAATCTTTTCCATTACCTGCTGGGTCTGTAATGCCAGCTACAACATGTGTATGATTTCCTGCAGTTCCACAGAAAATACCTGTGCTTGAATCTACTGGGTCACTTGAAATATCATATCTATGCATTCCCTGTCTATCCGAACCTGCTGCAAGATTTGTATAACCTCTTTTTGTCATTGAATGTGAATGGTTTCCTTCCACAGATGTTCTTCCACTGAACCTATGCATATGTGAAGGAAGGTTTTCAATACCTATTTTCTTTGAACCTCCCATCTTCATTGACTGCGTATTAGTGTAGAATGGAAAACTGTCAACTATTTCATACCATCTACCACCAAATAAAGTGTTTGGATTTATTGGATTCATAGACGTATAAACAGCTCCTATAGGATATATTAAATCATATATGCTCATAGCTCTATAAACATATTCTAAAGAACTTATGTCATTAAATACCATTTGGAATGTATCTCCCGGATGAAATGTTGCATTTGTTCCACTTTTATAATGTAATGTTAGTTCAATAGAATTATCCAAGAAAAATTCAAAAGTATCTGGTTGAAGACCTCTAACAAATTCAAATGGAGTTGCTGGTTCACCATTTATAATTTCTGTTGTAAATGTCATTTTATCTGGTTTCCAAAATTTCTTTGTTAGTTCTGCATCCACATAAGTTTTGTCAGCTTTCTTATCTAACATTGCTGGTAGTTCATGTGTTTCAAAGTTTCTGGCATGACCTTCAATGTTCGTACATTTACTATCTAAACTGTTAAGTGTATCTTTTACGCTAGTGCTTGGATCTTCTTGTGGAGCACTTGAGCCTAAAGTATAGTTCAAGATAATGTCATCAGCTCTTATTTTCTTGATTTGAACTGGTTGGTCATTATCAGCTCCTATTTTATTGATTATAACAGGTTTGTCTTCTCTTGAACGAATTGATTTAACTGTCAAAGGTTCAGTGAACTCATTATTTTTCAAAGGAATCAATGTTGTATTGATGTTTTCACCATTAATATATACTTCTTTTGTATCAATACCAGATGGGAATGAAACTCTTTCATTAACTTTAACTGTTGTACCATCACCTGGGTACATATCTTTCTCTGGACCTTTGATTGTCTTAAGTATGACAGACTGTGATAAAGTATATTCTTTAGATGCAACTTTACGTATCTCTTCGTCAACATAACTTTTGTCAGCTTTGTCTGCAATCTTAAGTGCAGTTCTTCCTCCATTATTTTTGTTCTCCTCAACTTTCTTCGCTAATTCAGCAAGAATGAGATAAAGATAATCAGTAAGGTCATCAGTACCAGACATATTAATATTATTGTTCTTTCTTGATGTATTAGCAACTTTCACTAAGGTCACAAAATCAGGGTACAAAGTACTTAACGTAGAAATGATTGTTTTTGGTCCAGGATCTTTCTCTTCTTTATCATTAGCATCACGTGCCATTAGAATTGGTTCCAAAGGTCCAGTCACATCAAAACTCTCAAGTTCCATATAACCTTCATTTCTGAATCTTTCTATATGAGTTATCTTCTGGAAACTTGTTTTAGTCTTTTCAACTAAATTTTTTATTCCATCCACAAAACCTCCTTTATGATTTGGACCAAGATTACCCAGAGTGTCAAGAACAGTATCTATACCTTCTTGACTTTCAACAAAAGCCCAAAGAGCATTTATTTGACTCTGGAGTGATATCCATGAGGCTGCAGTAGCACCGGCGTTTGCTATGGCAAAGATGAATGATAAAGGGTTGAACTTAAGACCAGATTCTTTATCTTTGACAATTTCAACGAAGTCATTGATATTTTTCTTCAAGTATTCCTTAGTCAGAAGAACTCCATCGCCAGCTATACCAGTTGCTTTTGTCTTTCCTTTAACATCAAATGTGATTGGTTTCTTCAATAAAATAACTTCTGGTGTTGTACTGATGCTATCATTAGTGGAGAAAAATTCTCCGACATGACTTGCTAAGTATTCTTTCGTCAATAATGTTCCATCACCAACAATACCAGTTGCTTTTGGACCATCTTCTGTGAATGTCAATGGTTTCTTTAACATAACTTTATCTAAGTATATTGCAATACCACTATTTTGTACTTGTTCATGACCTAATATATAAGCAAATGCTGCGTTTAAAGCATTATACAATGTATCTTCTTTAAATGTTAATTGACTGTTTTCAATCATTGGTATATTGAACAGTGTAGACCTTGGGTCAAAATGAACTCCATGGTCAATCGATAATAACCGTTTAACATGATATATTATAGTCTCTAATGCTTCATTAATATTTACCTCACGAGTTTCTTGCAAACCATTACTCGCCATACATGAAAACATATAATCTCTATCAGTTGTGAAGAATGGAGCATCTAAGTAATTATTCTCTACTTTTGTCACACGATTCTGTAACGCTTGAAGGTATTGATTTAAGTCTGTTTCAACAATTGTACCATCTGGTTGCTCGATAGGTAATATACCAGGACCGATGGTAATGTCTTCATCAGCACCTTCTTTATGTATGACTAAAGCATTATCAGTAATTCTGAGAGTATATTCTTTATATTGAAGTACGCTAGACTTATAACATTCATATGCATATGGAACAACACTCATTCTTTTACTACATATAAAAATGATGTATTATCTACAATCGACTGATCCTAATAACTACGGGACAATACAGTTTCAAGCAGATCCTAACATGGGGCATCCAAGTAAGATAAAGATGAGAGTAAAAAGTGTCAGTACTATGGCGAACTTTATTGTTTGTGACGAAACAGATTATTTTGTCTTACAGTTAGACGAAGATGGAGAAGAAAAGGTGTGTACATTTAAGTCAGCTCTTTCATTTGATATGGATACTATTGTATCAAAACTACAAGAGATTGTAACAAAACAGTTTGATTATTATAACAAGAAAAAAGGTCAACATAATGTAACAGTTTCACTGAGTGCTACGAATCAACTTATATTTACGTCACAGGACAAAGGACATAAAGTCTATTTAAAAGATGCTTCACATAGAGCAAATCTTATTTTAGGTGCATATGGAATAGAACTACCTATTGTACATAATTATTATCTACAAATGCCAAAACCACCTATGCTCAACTTCGGGTATCAGTTATACCTTCGTTCATCAATGTCTGTCATCTCTGGGTTCAATAATATTGACCAAGTTGATGATCGAAGAAAGATCATGTACAGATCTACATGTTATAACATCAATGAGTTCTGGATATCTGGTAAACCACTTATATGTAAGGAATCCTCACCATGGATAGATGCATTTCCATGGGAACTAACTAATGTTACGTTTACCTTAGTTGACTTCCAAGATCAGCCTGTTCGATTATTGTCACCAATGTTTATGGTGATAGAGATTAAACCAGATAAGCCAGAAGTTAGAGAAACCAATGATGTCAGTGATGATGATACAGAATCTTCGTACGATTATGATTACGATGACGATTAAAAAAAAATAACGTATATTTTTTTATCGGTTATAAAAGACCAACATGCTCAATGCTATAAAAGGATTAGTTAATAACCTTTCACCAGAAGATAAGAAAGGTATGCTTGATATGTTTGGGATCAAAATGCCTAAGAAAGCTAAAGACATTACCAATAAATTAGCTCTGGCAATTAAGAATCAAGGAGGTACAGGAAGTGTAGCAGATATTTTCAAGAATGCTAAGAGCTTCTATGATGACTACAATGGTATCATGAATGTTCCAGCTTCAAATTCCCCAGTTGCTTTAGATCACGATCAGAGATCTCATAATAGAGCGTTAATGGAGATGCAACCAATATACTCAGACCCTCCACCAAAGATTGATGAGAGCGAATTAGCATACAAAGAAATACAGAATGCCTTTTACGTTGTTAAGAACATTAATGGTCAAAAACTTCCTGATGAGAAATGGTTAGACCCAATAACTAAAGCAGGAGAAAGATTCATTATGTTTAACATTGACCAATACAGTCCAAGAGGAAAAGATTACTTCAACAAGATGTTTCCAAGAGTTATGGCAAAGTTCATTGGACAGATAGACCTTTTCAAACAGAAGTGGACATTCTATTACGACTTTGATGAGAAGAGAAACATTTTGCGTCATTTGAACATCAATACAATGGGATCATTAGTTCATCAGTTACTTAATGAAGCTCCAATAGCAGAAGTACAAGAATTAGCATCTAAAGTCCTTGAATCAAACTATGACTTCTTCCTTTGTAGTATTCCTTCGTTAAGGAAGATCGAGATCTTTGACTATACAGCTTATTCAGATGTTGATGCTTCTGCTTTGAGAAAAGGAACGTACACACCATATAAACTCACAGCTGAAGAACAAGTTATGTTAGATACGATGAGAGCAGCAGGTCAAGAAAAGATCGCACTCAAGATCATCAAACAAAACCATTCAAAGAAGAGAAACAGGTCACGTAATGGTCAGCTTTGGACATGGACATGCAAATTACCTATTAACTTAGAGAGGTATCAGATCTTCAACGAACTTAATGCAGAGACAGCAAAGAAGATGATGAAAGATTCATGTTTCATCTACGCTTGTATTCAAGCTGGTGTTGACGAAGCAACAATTAATCATATGAGGGAAATCATTCGTGTCAAAGATTTTCCAATGTCAAAGATTAAGGTTATTGCCAAAGAAACAGGAATAAGGTTCCATGTCATCAAATACAACGAGAAGTATTCAAACATCAATACTTATAACCAGATGAAGAACCAAAGATGACAGTAGAACTTTTATTAATGTATGACCACTACATGTTGAACGAAAAGCTTCCAATAAGTTCAATGTTCATCAAGAACTATGAAGATGTTTGTAAGTTGTGCAAGGATTGGACTTTAGAGAAGAAGATGTTAGTTAACAGAAGATATGAAACAAGGTATGCAATTAACTCAAAGTTAGTTACACCACTTGCAAAAGTCATTGAACTCTTGTTTGCTAACAATTATTTCGAACCAATTAGAACAGGAGAACTTTGCACATACTTCACAACGATGTATAATGAGAACCTTGAAGAAATGATTGACCTCACATACAATGAGCGTTATTGCGCAAGGATGAAGAAAGATTGGAGTTCAGAGACGAAGAAAGACATGAAGTTCCCAAGAGAACATGTTTTCTTTGCTGACTTCGAAGCATCAACTGATGGAAACATTCACAAAGCATACAACATTTGTTTCATGGAAGATGACGATGATGGTTATACATCAATTTGGGGAAGTGACTGTGCGTCAAAATTCCTCGAAGCTTTACCAGATAAGAGTTTAGTTTATTTCCACAACTTATCGTACGATGTCACTTTTCTCATGTCTCAGTTAGAAGAGATTACAGGAACTCCAATCATCAAAGGTTCACAAACGATGCAGATACAAGGAAAGTACAAAGGAAAACTTCTCTGCTTCAAAGACTCTTATGCAATCATCTCAACTAAGTTGGAAAGATTCCCTGAAATGTTTCACCTCACTAGTGGTGAAAAAGAAGTTTTCCCATATAATTACTACACGGAAGAGTTAGTTAATACAACTAAAGTTGGTAACATCGATGATGCCATGAATCATGTCAAAGATATTGAAGCTTTTAATGAGAACATTGAGAAGATTGAAGATTGCAAGATTGATGATGAACACTTTGACATGGAAGTTTATTCGTCATTCTATTGCGGTCAAGATGTACGCATTTTACGAGATGGCTTTCTTAAGTTCCGCAATGACCTCATGACTGAGTTTGAAATAGATGCTTATGATTATGTTTCAATAAGTTCTATCTCAAACAAACTCTTTGAGAAGAGAGTATATTGGAAGAACGGTAATCTCTTTGATCTTGCAGGAAAACCTCGTGAATATATTTCCAAGTGTATTCAAGGAGGAAGATGCATGCTAGCTGAGAACAAGAAGCAATACAATGAAGGAGAACTCATCACTGACTTCGATGCTGTATCATTGTATCCATCAGCAATTGCTAGACTTTACTGTTTAGAAGGAATTCCAAAAGTTATGACAGAAGAGATGAAGAGCAGTGAATACTTGTTGGAGCATCTCTTTGATGATGACCAAGCTGAACCAACAAAGGAAAAGTTCATCTCAGGATTTTACTGTCAGATCGAGATCTTGTCGATCGGTAAGAACTCAGCATTCCCATTGATTGTCGTCAATCCTGACATCAACCCTGACTTACATGTTGCCAGAAGTTCCAATACATGCTGCAAGATGTTCGTAGACCACATTACGCTTCAAGATCTGATCAAGTTCCAAGAGATCTCATGCAAAGTCATTGATGGATACTATTATGATGGAAAAAGGGACATGACAATAAGGAATGAAGTTAAGAAGCTCTTCGAATTACGTGCTAAGTATAAGAAGGAAGGTAATCCGATACAAGAGATCATCAAACTTCTTTTGAACAGTATCTATGGTAAGACGATATTAAAGCCCATTGACAAAAAGATTCGTTTCATCAAGGACAATAAGCTCACTGACTATATCATTAAGAACTATAATGACATACAGACAATAGAGTTCATCCCCGATTCCGAACTTTCATGTGTAAAGTCATTTAAACCTATCGTTCGTCACTTTAACTATTGTCCATTAGGTGTTTCAATCCTTTCTATGTCCAAACGAATCATGAATGAAGTATTCTTCACAGCAGAAGATTTGGGCTTGAAGTTGTTCTATCAGGATACAGATAGTTTACACTTGTATGAGAAGGACTTAGATAAGTTAGCAGAAGAATACAAGAGAAGGTATAACAGAGAACTCATTGGAAAAGCACTGGGTCAATTTCATTCAGACTTTGCAGAGATTACTGCAGGACATATGTCTAAGGCACAAAGATCTATATTCGTTGGAAAGAAGACTTACCTCGACGAATTAACCAATGACCTCAAGGAAATTGCTTTCCACTGTCGAATGAAGGGAATCACACAGGACGTAATTGCACTTACTGCAAACCAAATGTTCCCAGATGCGATACAAGTACATTATGACGAGAAGAAAGGTTTGTTCTTCCCTGAGAAAGTTGGGGAAAAATATAGCATCGTGGAATTGTACAAATCTCTTTATGAAGGTGATGAGATAACCTTTGACTTGTGCATTGGTTCGAAACCATGCTTCAACAAAAATAAGGACTTCACTATTTCAACGAAGTCATCTTTTGAACGTAAGTTAAAGTTCTAAACACTTACTTATTATTTTTCTTAGCTTCTTCCTCTTCTCTCAATTTCTTTGCAATCATTCGTGGATTCTTTGCGCGTCCAGCTGCTAATGCAGCTAATTGTTTCTCTGTGAGTTTACGCTTTGGTTTAGCTGGTTTCTCTTCTTGTGTTTGTTCTTTTGGTTTGAGTTCATTAAGTATTTCTTCACGAAGTTCATTCTTGAGTGCTTCTCTGTCGAAAGTATTCTCAGTCATTTTGTTAGGAGTAAAAAATTTTATTAGGATAGAAATGACGTCAAAACTTTCACCAAGTGAAAAGCAATCAATCATATTGAATGAAGCTAAAGGAATACAACATCCATTATATTATGTTTGTCATATGAAGAATGGTTCAGTTCAAGTTAGAAAGAGAAAGGCACCATTGAATTCACC